TTTGACTTGAATGTGAGCAGCACTTTTCATAATCTGATTCACGGCCAACATATTCAATTTTATAAGTATGTACTGAGCTTCTTTTGTGATAGGAGATATGACACACTAAATGTTGCAGTCATCGCCTTTCCAGAACTTGCCACCTTGTTGAGCAAAACTATAAATGGAGAAACTTTGTCTTCACAGTCCCCCTGGAACTTTCAGCCTCCTTTTGTCCACCATCACTGCTTCTTTAGATGTTTTTTTTTAGGTGGAAACCTTATACCCAAGACAACTCCACTTATTGTAATCACCAGGTCTGTAAGTTAGGAATGCTTCTAGTTGCTAGTAATAACGCATTTGGACAACAACAGCTAAAATGAGTAGGTGTTTGTTCTACTCAGACATCACTAAGTCCAGAGGCAGGCAGCTGCTGGCATTCGTTCAGTGGCAGGGCAGCTGTAGTGCAGGCGCATGGTCATTCTCTCAGGGCTACTCCTGCAGCAGCAGGCATCCATTTGTCTTGGAGGCACAAGGATGTGGAGGAAGGACCAAGGCCAGATGCATATGTTACCTGTACAGCCACACCAACAAAATATTACCAAGGCTTTACTGAAATCTCCCTGGGGATCCCTGCTTATGTGCAATTGTCTAGAACCGTGGCATATGACCAACTAGCTGCATGTGAACATGAGTTTCTAGTCGAGGTGAGAATGGGAGAAGGGAGTTGGAAATCTGTCCTGGGTTAACCAGACAATAGTGTTTGCCACATGTAGAGAGGCTGTGCTTTACTGGTTAGGGCAGAGACTCATAGGGACCAGCTGGGAAGAGAAAATGTATAGGTGGCAGAAGCTGTTAGAAGGAGTAGGGGACATTTCTCCCTCTGCTGCCACCCTCACCCAGATCTGCATGTTGACATGAGGGTACACAGCTTATCCCTCAAGGCTCTTCTCAATGTTTCTTTCTTCTCTTGATTTTATTTAGTTCTTACATATCCTATAATAGTGAAGACAAATATTGAAAAATCATCTCAGAGTCCCATTTCCATAAACTGTTCACATGTTCCCATTTTTTCTTTTGATCCCTCTCATTTGAATGCATTTCAATATGAAGATGATAAATATTTATTTTTTCACTAAACATTACTTCATAATGCTTTCCTCCTTGCTGTTCCATTTTGTTCTTAATAAATGTCTGCATCGTCTTCACCCATTCCTTTAAAGCATTGACATTAGGGATATTAGCTTAGTAACCATAACCATTACATCTCTTAGTTCCAAGAGACTATTTATGAAAGAGTCATTATATCCACAGTAGCAGAAGGACAGGATCATATTTGTTATATTTTAAAAGATTTTTTTTATTTTATTTTATTTTTTATTTAATGATTTTTAAATTAAATTTATGGGGTGACATTGGTTAGTAAAATTAGATAGATTTTAAGCATACAATAGATAGTACATCATCTATATATTGCTTTTTAAAACTCTCCTAATTTGAGAATGATGTAACTGTGGTGACTGAAGAACTTATTCATAATGTGTGGCTCAGTAATTCAGCTGAAAACGCTACTGGTTCAACATGCAAGGAATCTTTGTGTTTAAACAATCCAGATCACTATTTTAATTTTGAATAATGATGCTATCGCTCATCATTTTAGCTCTGTATACCATTATATATGTGTGTGTGTTTGTGTGTATGTATTTAATTTGCCAAAAAATTGATCATTCATTCGCTTCCCCTACCATCTTTATAACACTGACTAGGCTTTTAAATGCAATACTTAGCAAGTTAATAAAAAGCTAGAACACTGGAATTAAAACAACAAGGAATTAGGCTGCATACCCCAGCAAATACCTTTTATGAATGCCTTGTACGTTTTCAGGTGATATTTGCCATTTGTCATAATATTAGGTAATAACAAATTCCGTTTCTGAAGATAGTAGCAAATACAATTTTGTAAATGCTGAAACTTTAATATTAAATTGTTACATCACTTTTAAATGTATCCAATGGAATCTCCATACCTTAGAGGTATGATACTTATTGCCAGTTTTGTTTAAAAAAAAACAAAAAACACGGAAAAGTTCTGCCTTCATATTTGGGAATTTCACATTATTTTCTTCTACTTGAATTTATATTTTATTTCCATGTTCACTGCAAAATCTATTTGAATGTAATGCATTCATGAAACGTTTTAAATTCCACATATCTGTGGGTGAATATTATGTAGTTTATCACTGTAGTCAACAGTATAGAATGTAGAGCCAGATTTCTTGAGTTCAAATCAGGTTTTGCCACTTGTCAGCTGTGTAATATTGAGAAAATTGCTTAACTTTCTGTGCCTAAGTTACCTCATCTGTAAAGGTGGTGGTGGTGGTGGTGGGGGAATATTACACATCCCATGGAGTTGTTGTGAGGACTAAATGAGTTCCCGTATGCACAGACGTTACAGAGAGCCTGGCAGACAACAAGCACTGCATAACAGTTTGCTGTTACTGTCAGATCCAGGGGCCTCATCAACTACTTTGTTCCTCTTTCTGTGTTGATAAATTTCAGTGCTGATCAGCCTTGTTTTACATAATGAGGTAGATGACAATGGGAAGAATTTAGGTATATATTGTCCCTTAAATTTGAATGCCTTCCAAGTTAACATGCTAAAGAAATCAGTGGTCTGGTGTCAAAAACTTTTTTTTTTTTTTTAATGCAAGGTTTGGCAACTTGATGGGAACCTCTTTCAACAAAACTTGAAAACCAAGCATTGGAAATACCTGTTTTTCAAAATATTTCTGGAACTTGAGCTATTAACTGTTTCAGTTTCTAGAAAGTATACAAAGGGCTTTACCCACTTATCAAATAGATCTTATAGCCTGTTACTCTCTGCGGCTCCAAATTTAACTCAATATTCTCAGAGAGGGTTAGGCAAAATGGAATAAATTTCCTCGCTACCTCCTAACTGATAACATTTTAATCAGCTTTATTAACAGTATAGTTTATATAGAATACAGTTCACCAATTTTAACTGTAAAACTATGCATTTTGACAAATACTTGAAGTTTTATAACCACCACCAAAGTCATGATATAGAGCATTTCCATCACCCCAAAATGTTCCCTCATGCCTATTGTAGTCAACTCGTTCTGCAGGTTTCTGGCTCATGAACTTTCTGTTACTATGCTGTATTTACTTCTGGCAGCTGGGTAAATTCCTAGGAGTGAGTTTGTTGGGTTATATGGTTAGTGTGTGTTTAACTTTATAATAAACTGCAAACTGTTTTTTGAAAGTACTGTACTTCAAGTAATCTATGAGAGTTACAGTCTATAGTCTCATCAATACTTGCTATCATCAGTAATTTTTTATATTAGCTATTTTATTGGGCATGCAATGGTACCTCTTTGTGGTTTTAATATGCACTTATCTAACTTTTAAGAGTGTTGAGAATTTTTTCATGCGTTTATTTGCTATTACCATGTATTTATTTGCTTTATTAGCCATTCTTTGCTGAAGTTTGTTCAAATTGTTTTTGCTCATTTTTTAATTGAGTTACTTACCTTCTCATTATTAGGTTGTAAGAGTCTTTATATATGCTAGATCAATTACTAGATTTCGATATTATCATGTTTTTAATATATTTTTAAAACCTTGGGGCTGCAGATTTAGCTCATTTAATTTATGGAAAATGTCCTTCGTATTTCCTAATAGGCAAAACAAGAGCCCCTGTCAAACCAATCAGCCAAATCAGCCTTTATCTCTGTGAAGAAAAATAAAATCTGACTTCATTTTTCAATTCGAACCAGTACACCAATATGAGCCCTTGTGTCAGTTCCCTCACATCTGAATTCCAAGATAGATAAGGTTCAGACATTTGCCATATATTTGTTATTCCTCGGATGAAAAAAAAAGTATCGTCTTTCAATCTTTCTAACCAATGCTCCTTTGCTTGCTCTCACAGGATTACCCTCAAGTGTGATGCTTTTTTTGGTAAATAGTTGGGGCGGGAAGCGCTAGCTAGCATGTTAACGGAGAAATATCTTTACTCCCACTCCACTTCATAGTATTTCTACATCCAAAATATTCTAACATAGGTCAAAATATCCCATTTCTAAATTCTTAAATAAGTATGTATACAACTAAGAAAGATAAGGAGCCTTTTGTAGACACCAATATTCTGAATTGTTTCTTTAGTTGATGTTCAAAAGTGTTTTTCTATCCTGGGCCAATGCACCGTAGTAAGAGTAGGGATGGTGAGAGTACAGTGTTTCTTTTTAAAAGGGCAGGACTGTGCCATAAAGAGGAGGTAGGAAAGGAGAGCTCAGGGCAACTCAAGCACTTAAAACAGGGCAGTTTTGGGTAAGTGCACATATGGAAGTTGAAGAAGTGGAAACTGACTCCATATCTGTGCATGCATCGCCTTGGACAATTTTAGTATCCATACCACAGTTAGAAGACTCTTGTTCTAAACTCATGTGGTTTTTGAAGTTAGGATAAAGGCTTCAGGCGGTGTCAGATGTCCCAAGGGAGATAAATCATTTCCTGCTGGAAGAGATAAGAGTTTCCTAGATGGAAAACAGAGTGATGTGTTTGAGTAGTGAAAGGAGGTTTATAACCTGAATTTCTTCGAGTCTTGTTGAGAAATTTTAATGCACTGGTCCCATAACTGGTAGTCTTATTTATAAGTATCCATATACTTGTATTATTATTTTTAAATCAGCTGTTGTCATCACACCATTTTAAAGAGTTTTTGATTAGTGTTCGCCCAGTGTGGTTTTCTTGGGGACAACCTCAGTCTGTTTTAGTGGAAGACCTTTAATTAGAGTATTCAATTAAGAGTTCCTTTCAGGCACTTTTCAAAGGACAGTTTAATAGTTGAGAAACTTCACCTTATTTATATCTCTAGAATTGAACAGTGAAGAAATCTTGACAGTTGTCACAAAGACTCAAAGAGACCAAACATTACAAAAATTATTTTCATTTATTCAAGCCTTTCAAATAAAATATTCATTTAATATGATACTCACAGAGGCAATAAAATACATAATTTATCTGGCATTTCAAAGTCATTTACAAATAGAGAGCTGTCATTTTAAAAAGCTCAGCTATTTTTCTTCCCTCTAGCACATTAGGTAAAAAAACCCACAACTCACAAGATACCACATCATGTAAGAAAGCCAAGTTCTGTCTCACTCACATATCTTGATCAACAGGGAGGAAAAGCTTGCTTGCTGCAGCTGCTGGCATCGCAGCCCTTGAATTTGGGTGTGTTGAAATTATGACAGGAATTCACGGTGTGTCTTCAGTACACCTGCCTGTTGCCTATTTGACAAGGAAAGTGTAGGAGGTACTCCACAGATAGACTGAAAGTCTCCCTTTTACACTGTTGGAAGCATATTCTCTGACACTCCCCACTAAGAAAATCTGCACCACCTCTCACCTACTTATCCTTTAATAAAAGTCCCTACTCCCTTTTAATATATTTGTCTAAAGATAAAAAAATATAGGGGCCTTATTCAATTGTAAATGTGAACCCTGTATAAAAAGGTATAACTATTACAATGTTGAAAGGCAGAATCCCTCAGCCCGCCACTGAAAGTGAAGAGTGCTGCTTGTGTTCCTGTCACGCTGACGTGATCCAGCCAGATCTGAACTCACATCATCCAAAGACAAAGGGCCCTTTGGAGCCAAAACATGTAAAGGAGAGTCTATGAGGCAGTGAAAATGTCCAAATGGAAAATGGAACTAAACCACTATGAACTGAGTTAAGATTGTGCCTGCATCTTGCTGCAAAATGAGGGTAGAGAAATTAAATTAGACACTATAACTGAGAGCCCAACACTCAGCCAGTTATTTCTCTCTTGTCATAAATCCCTGCCATCATTGATCAAATCCCCCTTGCTTCCTCTTATTACACCTACTTACAGCATTCAAGGAACTCACTCGGCAGTGCCCTTCCTGCTTTTGGCTCTGGACATGTCCTTCTCTTTCTCAAGTAATGTTTAATATTCAGCTCCCCTATGGCTCCCTGACTTCATTCTTCTTACTCCTACTTACTTCTGCATATCTCCTTGATGCATTTCAAGTGGTCTTCTGTTATTTGTGCTTTCCACCTATTTCCCATGATCTCCCATTGAAGTGAATTCACTCGGTAGAGCAGTGGTGTTTCTTCCAATACATCTGTCTTTGTGCCACTTGCCACCTCCCCACTCCATGATGTCTACTGTGGGGCTTTGTGTGACCCGAATAGCTGTCGAATTAGCCAGTGTGGGCCTGCCTCATGCGGGCAAACCTTGAAGAAGTCCCTCTCTAGGGACTTCTAAATTCAAGCCATTCACTAAAACATCTAGTGGGTGTCGTTGGACTTCTGAGGCACAGCGACCAATGTACAATATTATTGTTGACTTATGGGCATGATTCTAATTTGGTCATTGAATTCTATTTAGTAACTCTCTTCTCTTACTTTTGCTTTTGAATTATCACTTAGAAAAGGCTAATATTTTTAAATACAGGAAGTCAGGTATTTGCCCATGTTACACTACAAAGTTATATAAATAGTTTGCAACATTTTCAAAATAATAATATATCAATGGAAGACATTCATTTCAATCTTTTTACAATCATAAATACTGGAGCAAATCTTGATCACTTTATAATAATTCACTGGATCTATTTTAACATACAAAAAGTCAGGTGCTCTTCTCCGGGTTACGAGATCCTGGGTAAGAATTCAGTTCAAGAGTTACAAGGTCCTCGGTCCTCGGTGTTATGTATGTCAGGTTTAGTTTGAGGCCTGAGAATATTTTGGGGGGATATTTCAAAGACACAAAAATGTTTTTATACATATAAATATTTGTCCCATTAAAGTTCTGGACCATCAGTCACTTGGTGCCAAAACCAATATATGGATTCAATTGGAATTTAAGTTTTCACTTTAACTTTTTCCTCCCAAATATCCCATCAAAACAAATAATTAAATATTGTTACAGCTGAAGCATGTTCTTGTGAATTCTTCTTTTTTGTCCACTTGATGTCTACTTTTCCTGTAGTTGAAATCCTTCATTCACCTTATAGGGTGATGACTCGGAGGCTGTTTCATTGTCTGATCTCTGGAAATTCCTCATTGTTTTTTCCATAACATTTCTTATATGCCACATAAACTAGAAAACAATACATGGAAGGTTAGGCAAATTTCATAATAATTAGCAGCAAAGTTACTTTGGATAGTGATTATAAACTATGGCTCAAAAAGCAGTCTGCACATCTTGTAGGTGGGAAACAACTTAGAGCAATCACCATTCCTAATTCCATGAGCACTCATGGTAAGAGGAATGACTGCACTACAGCTGTACAGGCTACTTGCTCCTATGACTTCTGCAGGCGGTACTTGCCAATAGCCACAGCAGCAAGCATTTATTCTGTACCTACCATCTCGCAGTTAATGTGCTAGTGCTCAATAAATATGGTGCCTGCTAAGGGGCAGTGTTCAGGACCTTGGTCTAATGGCCTGTGTGGGAGGACTTGAGCTGGAATAACACTCCATCTCCCCCAGCCTTCATTCATTCCTTCCCACCAGGAGGGGGCCCTGGTTGGTGATCAGCCTTTCTGTCTTCCGTGGAGTGGCTAGTCTCTAGTAGTAGCCATTTCTCAGCATATTTCTGAGGTTGGCTCACCTGTACAGACTGCCCTGCAAGGGGAGACTTGTGCATATGTGTGAGGCATTGGAAGGGAACTGTATTAACAAGACCATTCGGTTGCAGCTTTGAACTATATTTTCTAATTGTTGTATCTGTAATAAAAGTGATATTTTGTTATCTACATATTTGATTTTTTTCTTCTACCTCTTAATTTGTTCCAAAGCCCACAGGGAAAGAGAAGGTATTGTTTACCCTCAAATTCCAATACCTCACACTTAAAATTGGTATAATAATGTTGTCTACTCAATAGGGCAATAATAAACATTAAATGGGATAAAATAGTAAAGTGCCTAGCATGGCCCTGGGAGAATAGTAAGTGCTCAGTAAATGCTAAGTATCATTATGATACACAGCTGAGAGAACTAATGTCCTGCTTCTAAGATCTTACTGTGTCAACATCAATATCTCCTTGGATTGGCCCCTGTGCTTTTAGTAATATATTATTATATTTGAAGCCACTGAGCTATTGAACCTATTGAACTGTGTTTGTGATTAATTAAAGTATCTCAACACTTTTATTATAAATTCTTTTTGAGCTGGGTTTATCTCAACTTATACTTAGTCCACTGATTTTGTTTAACTAGACTGTTTATTCCTTTTCTTTCTCCCCTTCCTTCCTTCCTTCCCCCCCTCCCTACCTTTTATTGTTCCAAAAAATAGATTTCTAATCTTTTAACCAAAATATGTTTTCAAGCATTGCATATACTTAATAAAAATCCTTTCCTTGTTTCCAAAACCAATATATGGATTCAATTGGAATTTAAATTTTACTGCTAAAACTGTGGGAAAGTAGAAGACCAATACTAGTACCCACCTTTCCATCATTCCTTCAGCTTATCTTTAATTCCTTTTGAGTTAGTTATTCAACTAGTAAAGGGATTTAACTGCTCTATCAGCCAATCTACTTTCTCTGGCTTGTCTAATAGATGTCACTAGCTAATTATTTGGAAAAATCTCAAGGTGCACCAAATTGGGTATATCTGTATCATACAGGAAAACAAGGTAATTAGGCCATGGACGCCTGTCACCTGCATTAGTGATATATCAGTGGAAGGTTTCCAATGGTTTCAGAGAGTCCTATAATAGAAAGCAAAACTCTGCTTCAAGAATGACATTCAAGACAGTAATATAAAAATGATTAGCACTCACAGGCAAGTTGAATACCTAATGGAGCTAAGTAAAAAAGTAAAACCAAACCCAAACAAAACTGTACCTTCAGTCATTTTATAACTTAATATTCACATCATTTGCATCATTCTCCTTCACTATATGGTCCTTGCTAAGTGTCATGAAGCTTAAAACAGCAGTTCATTTATTTAAAAAAAAATAGAATTTCAAAATAGAGGTTAGAATTCCAGTCAAGATGGCAGAGTAGGTAAATGCTGTTTGTTTCCTCCAGAGACCACATCAAAATGACAACTAAACTATAAAAAAAACATCATTGAGAATCGCCTAAAGTCTAGCTGAGCAGAAGTCCTATCACTAAGGATATACAGAAAAGCCATGTCAAGATGGCTGGGAGGGGCAGAGATGCGGAACGGGCTGGTCCCACCCCCACATGTGGTGCTTAAAAATCAGGAGGGACACCTCAGCTGCAAAGGAACCCTTGATGAGCGAGGAGTCCCAGCCTCACACCAGGATCCCCAACCCAGGCTTCCAGTGCTAGGGAAAGAAGTCCCCACGATTTCCGCATGTGAAATCAGTGAAGACTGTGGCTGAGTGAGATGGAAGGTGGCTGGAGTCCAAGGCATGCCCCTTAAAGGGCCCTCTCATGGAGTTACTCATTGATGGACTCACTCACTCTGAGCTCCAGCACTGGGGCAGAAGCTCAAAAGTGCTGGAGACATACAGGGAGGAACTGAATTTTCTGGCTTTAAGGTGAAAGCTGGAGAAGCAGCTTTCTCCCAGATAGAGGATCTGGCAGAAGTCATTGTTCTTTTGTTGGACCCTTCCCCTGCCCAGCCTGCATGTGCAGGTGGGCACAATAGCTGAGTCTCCATCAACCTGATTACCACCCTTTACCCCACCCTGACGATTCTCTGAAACCCCATCCCACCCAACTTGTGAGCCCACCCAAGCTGCTTCCAGTGGCAGTTCCATACAAATGGCCTGTCTTGGCTCATGCTGCAGATTTTTAAAAAAATCTCTCAAAGGTTCACAGACTCCAAACAAACATGTAGCCTTGGTGTGCCCTGTGGCACTTGCTAAGCAGCCCTAAGTCTGGAACTAGGTGCAGCCAGCCTCAGATTGCTGCTTAACCTCTCCCAGGCACCTCCAAGCCCAGCACAAGTGGCAACCATCTGCATCTCACTTTGTAGCTCATACTGTGGGTAGGGCACAGGCAGTGGCTGATCTTGGCCTGCACCAGAGCCCCTCCCAAGAAGCCCCAGAGCCAAAACACCTGGTGGCCAGCTTCAGATCACATCAGAGCACTACCCAACCATCTCCACAAAAGACACACCAACGGGCCAACTCAGCAGGCACCAGAGATCCACTAAAGCGAATCCTGCTCCATAGGGTCAGCTTCTGCACAACAGCTCCTCCACTGTAGTAATGGCCAGTCCTCACAACCAATCAGCCTGAAGGTCAATCTTTCCCACTGATGTGCCAACAGTAATCAAGGTTCAACAACAACAGGAGGGCACACACAACCCACGAAAAGGACACACCTGGTGTACCCAGCTCAGGTGACCAGGGAGACTGTATCACTGGGTCCAACAGAACACCTACTATGTAAGGCCACTCTACCAAGACTGGGAGACATAGCAGGTCTACCTGACACATAGAAACAAACACAGGGAAGCAACCGAAATGAGGAGACAAAGCAACATGTCCCAAATAACAGAACAGGACAAAGCTCCAGAAAAAGAACTAAAAAAGGGGAGACAAGTAATCTACAAGGTGCAGAGTTCAAAACACTGGTTATAAGTATGCTCAATGATCTCAGCAAGAACTACAGAAAAGAGATAGGAAAGATAAAAATGTAGATAGAAAACATAAAAAGAACCAGTCAGAAATGAAGAATATAATAACTGAAATAAAGAATACATTAGAGAGAATCAACAGTAGATTAGACAAAGAGAATTTAATCAGTGATTTGGAAGATAAGGTTGCAGAACACCTAATCAGAATAGCAAAAAGAATAAAAAAATAAATGAGGATAATTTAAGAGGCCTCTGGGAAAACATCAAGCATACCAACATTTGCACCATAGGGAACCCAGAAGGAGAAGAGCAAGAACAATAAATTGAAAACCTATTTGAAGAAATAATGACAGAAAACTTCCCTAACCTGAAGGAAATAGACACACAAGCCCAGGAAGTGCAGAATCCCAAACAAAATGAACCCAAAGAGGCCCACACAAAGACACATCTTAATTAAACTGCCAAAGGTTAAAGACAAAGAGAAAATCTTAAAAGCAGCAAGAGAAAAACAGTTAGTTACCTACAAGGGAGCTTCCATAACACTGTCAGCTGATTTCTCAATAGAAACTTTTCCAGGTCAGAAGGGATTGGCATGGAATATTCAAAGTGATGAAAAGCAAGGATCTACAGCTAAGATTACTTTACCCAGCAAAGCTAGCATTCAGAATGGAAGGACAGATAAAGACCTTCCCAGACAAGAAAAAGCTAAAGGAGTTTATCACCACCAAACCAGAATTACAAGGAATCTTAGAGGGATTTTTTTAGGAAGAAGAAGAAAAGAATATAAAAAATATGAATAATAAAATGACAATAGCTACATACCTATCAACAATCACTTTAAATGTAAATGGATTAAATGCTCCAATCAAAAGACACAGGGTGACTAACTGGATAAGAAAACATAACCCTTACATATGCTACCTACAAGAGACTCACTTCAGATGAAAAGACACATATACACTAAGAGTAAAGAGATAAAGATATTCATGAAAATGGAAATGAAAAATAAAAAGCTGGAGTAGCAATACTTATACCAGACAAAATGGACTTTAAAATAAAGGCTATAACAATAGACAAAGAAGGAGCCACTAATTCTACGTCTGGGCATTTATCCACAGAAACCCAAAAAACACTAATTCAAAAAGACATATGCATTCATATGCTTATTGCAGCATTATTTACAATAGTCAAGATGTGGAAGCAAATTTAGTGTCCATTAATAGATGAATGGATAAAGAAGTGGTACATATATACAATGGAATGTTATTCAGCCATAAAAAAGAATGAAATGTTGCCATTTGCAACAACAAGGATGGACCTAGAGGGTATTGTGATGAGTGGAGTAAGTCAGATAGAGAAACACAAACACCATATGATTTCACTTATATGTAGAATCTAAAGGACAACATTAACTAACAAACAAAACAGAACAAACTCATAGATACAGAGAACATTTTGATGGTTGCCATATGGGAGGGGTATTGGGGGACAAGGTGAAAAGGGGAAGGAATTAAGAAGTATGAATTGGTAGTTACAAAATAGTCATGGGGATGTAAAGTACAGCATAGGGAATGTAGTCAATAATATTGTAATAACTGTGTATGGTGTCAGATGGGTACTAGATTTATCAGGGTGATCAATTTGTAAGTTATATAAATGTGTAATCACTATGCTGTACACCTGAAACTAATATAATATTATATATCAACTATAATTGAAAAATAAAAATAAAATATTAGAGGTCAAATATCATCAGTCCTTGGAAAATAAAATTTAGAGAAACGTTTCAACTAGGTGAAGGCCAGCAGATGGCAGGGGCTAATGGATCAAAGGTACATGCTACAACAGAGTAAAATAAGAAAATCAACTTAGCTATCCCTAGTACTTGATATAAAGATATGTTTGCATCAACTGTTTCAATTACATGGGTATTTGAAATATATATATATCTATCTATCTGTCATCCAATATAACTTAGCTTGATAAATATCTTTAGTATACATTTTTTTCCCAATAAATATCATATATTTACAAAACATATTAAAACGATGTTTTGAGTAAGAAAATGACCAGTTCTTGGAAGCAGGTACGAAGGCATACAATAAAATGGTTCTAACAGGTTAATGTACCTTCCTAATTACTGAGGAAAAGAAAGTCAGTGGAGTGAATCGATCTCCATTACTTTTCACTTAAAAATAATCTTTACTAGAATGTTTTGGTAAAATTACAATCTTTTCATCAGTAGTTGGGAAGTCATGATAATATTATGGGTGGCTTTTCCCACTCATGTATTTCACTTTTAGAAAAAGGACATTTAACTTAATTTATATAATTCATTGCCAGAAAAATGTATTTTTTAAAAAAATGCCATATTAGCAACTTCAGGGTTTATCAAAGAAGAACATTATAATGAAATATAATTAGCATTGTTCCTTACTTCCTAAGAATATCGCTGCGAAGGCGAGCTGGAAAATGCTGTAGATGAGCGGGAAGGTAAACACTTGGTTCAGGTGCTCTTGGGTGAAGGAGAGCTGGACTATGGTGGAACACAGTTGCGTGTTCTGCATCCCTGTTTCCAAAGCAACTGTTCGGCACCTAAAAGAAATGTTCAGAGACTATATGTTTTTATGGTTTGTTTTGCTTTGTGATTGTATAAAATTCAAAGCAGACTTGAGAACAAGTCCATATAAAATGAAAATATAGGTATATATTTTATTTTTATAGCATATAGTTTGCTTTTAATATATATATATATTTATTCAATATATTTTATTTATGTTGAATAAGTATATAACTTATTTATATATTATTATATAGTATAAATAAATATTATCTCTCTCTATATATATATACACATAGGTAAAATCTTACCCCTTGTCATCTTTTATGATTGTTATGATAATGAGAAAATAAATATAAAACTCTATAAAAGTTGAAAAGGCATATGCAAACAAAAGACACTGCTATGTTTTTTTTTCTTTTCATATTAAAAAAAGTAGATTATAACATTTTCTTGTCCAGAGAAACAAAGAACACCAACTAGTTTATTTTGCCCCCAAACAGTGGAATATATAATATCTACATCTACACGTGTAAATATATATACATAGAATATTTATATTTAATATATTATATAATAATATTCATTAATAAGATATATATTTATTCAATATAAATAAAAGTATATATTGAATAAATATATATATATATACATAAAAACAGATATATATAAATAAAAATATATGTATACATAAAAGGAGCAAGCTCATTTATGTTAATGGTCCATAAAAGGCAAAGGGGGTTCATTTCAGAACGTCTTTTCAATTATGTCCATGGTAACAGTGCAGAGCACAGAGGAAAGGCTGAGAAAACACTCAAGATAGAGTATTTGTTATAGTTGTCTATTGTTAAATTGGTTTTGTTTTTCTGATTAAACCTTGATAAAAAATCTGCAAGGTAGGTGTTACTGTCTCCATTCTAGAGATAAGAAATACCAGAGAAAAAGTGGCTGGCCACAGCTGGGAAGTTGCAGGGCAGAGTGCAAGTCCAGGTCAGCCTGACTCACACGTCCAACTCTTTCCACTGTCTAGGGCTGTTTATCTCTTTCCCAACTTCATACATGCAGCAGCTCCTATACCTGCTTTTCCCACTGCTTATTGATTCAGATGGGCTAGTAGGAGAGGAAATGTTTTTACTCGGTACCACCAAACCCATGAATGCTAACCCTAGTTCTAATATTTAGCCACTTTGAGTGATGAGTTCATCTTGCTGCTGGCTGGAAGAATCCTTGTATGTTACCAGGCCAATCTAAGTGCTTTTGTTAAGTTACTCTGTATGGAGACTAAGGACCCAAGACAATGGAAGAGCTCAACCTGCATTCTGTAGGGAGTGGTCTAGAACAGTGGTTCTCAACCTGTGGGTTGCAACCCCTTTGGGGGTCGAACAACCCTTTCACAGGGGTCGCCGGGTACTTGTATGTGGGCGTATCTGCATGTGGGCCTGGAGATGGATAGAGGAGCTGTGTCTCGGTTCCTAAGACCATCGAAAATATGTGTTTTCCAATGGTCTTAGGCGACCCCTGTGAAAGGTTGAGAACCGCTGGTCTAGAAGAATCTGAGTAAAAGAGAGGCCATCAGTATTTTCTTGCTGGGGAACTTGCATAATTTAGAATGAGTCTATTTAGAATGACATATTCAGAAATAGTTATCACAGGTGAAAGATTTTGAATTTGTTATTGGTATCTACGGCTGTTATGGGTTTGATTGTATCCTCTCAACTCATATGCGGAAGTCCTAAGCCCCAGTACCTCAGACTGTGACCTTATTTGGAAATAGGGTCATTGCAGATATAATTATTAATAGTTAAGATAAGGTGATTAGGGTGTGTACTAAACTACTATGACCGGTGTCCTTCTAACAAAGGGAAATTTGAGCACAGAGACACAGAGGAAGAAGACAACATGAAGAGAAATAGAGAGGAGACGGCCATCTACAAGCCAAGGAGAGAGGCCTGGGACAGTTTCCCCATCACATCTTTCAGAAGGAACCAATCCTGCTACACGTTGATTTTGGACTTCCAGTCTCCAGAACTGTAAGACCATCCATGTCTGTTGTCTAAACCACCCCGTTTGGGGCACTTTGTTAAAGCAGCCCTTGTAAACGAATACAACGGCTATTACAGAAGAAAATTCCCAGTCTGATTTACCAAAACTCCATACCTGTACCAGGGCTGACCAGCTATTCTAGCCAGAAGAAACCCTAGAGAGTAACCGGCCACAGGAAATATTGTTCCCACAATCCACAGGTTAGGAGCGATGATCCAGGCACTTTGGTACAGTATTCCTCCAACCACAGCTATGAGCACGATAAGGATTGCACCTGTGATGGAGCCAATCTGGAAGAAAGACAAGCAGACCCAATAGTTGTGATAATGATGTTACAGCTCTCTGTGTATATTCCTTGTCTGATGGCCATGGTCAGCCTACCAGAAATGCTGTTGCTTGTCCCATGTTTTAATTTTTAAGAAAATAACAGAACATATAGCATCTACACTCAATTAGCCTAAAGATGGTGTTCTAGCTTGCAAAGTATCCTTGACAGAGAAAAAAAATGCACTCAATAAAAACTACAAGACCTGGCTTCCAGATTCTGCTCCTGCTGCTCTCCTTCCTCTTGTAAATCACTTCTCTGTCTTAGTTTCTTCATCTGTAATTAAGGATAAAATCCTGCCCTAGTCATCTTTTATGATTGTTATGATAATGAGCAACTGGATATAAAACTCTATAAAAGTCAAGAAAGATATATACAAAAGGTGCCAAAAAAATATGTACACATTTTAAGAAAGGAATAAAACTATTAAAATTGTAATACTCAATATATACTGAGAACAAAAGATGAATACAAGTCGTGTGTATACATGTTTTTGGCACCCCCGGTATATACAAAAGTCACTGTTGTTCTTGTTTTCTCCCTTTCACATTAAAAAAATTTTGGATTTTGTGACTTCTTTTTTTTTGTCCAGAGAAACAAAGAATACCAACTAGCTTATTTCGCTCTCTGATCAGTGGACTGTTTCTCTTTCTCTCTCTCTCTCTCTGTCTCTCATCATCTATCTACATATATATCTATATCTATATATCCATATAATCTATGTCTATATATCTATATCATCTTTATCCATATCTATATCATCTAGCTAGAATATAGTTGGTGAAGGAGAATGAATGGTTTATAATTTTAAATAAATATATCATATATCATATATATTATATGTCTAAATGTATTATCTGCCAATTGCCAGGCACTGAACTGGCCATATGGATACAGAGGTAAGAAAGATATGATCTATTTTCTAAGGCAGCTGTGCAGACACATCTTATAATACAAACCCACATAACAGATAAGAGCAAAGTGCTATGGGAGTCAAGTGTAGAGCAAAACCAAGGGGTGATGTTTGAATTGGATATCCCAAAGGGTGGATAGAAATTTGCCCTGTGGATGGGCAAGGAAAGGCATTCTAGAGGAGCAAACTGCATGCATGTCTATAAGTTTAGACTTCCTAGCATGAGGTTTATACATTATATAATGAGAAAATCAGGGTAGCACCTAGAAGGGCCTATCATTTCCACTCTCACTATGGAGCATTTGTCTGTAGCCTATAGCCTGGGACACTTACCTTAAGTATGATCTTGGCTTTCTGGGGCCACTTGTGATTAACAAACATTCCAATGGAAACAGGAATAACAAGAGCGACCAATGATGTACCTAAAGATGACAGAAAAGCAATTTGATCAACAGAACACATAGCACAAGGAAAGAGGAAAACAAAAGAGTAAGCAGCCTAAAACAGACTTAGGTAATACATCAGTCTTCCTTCTTGAATATACACAACGATAACAAACAAACAAAAAGCCTGTCCTCCTTCACCTACTTCAGTAAGTAATTTAATATTACTGGTGATAATTAATCATATTGATACTATAAATCCTTTCCCTAAATTCTGGGTAAATTTTTTTAGAGCTCCTTACATAGCTAACCCATGTTTTTTAGTTTCAGTTTGTCAGAATCTTGCCTTATTTGATGTTTGGACTTCTATATCTTAGGAAAAATCCCCTTTCAAAGTTTGTGTGTGTTCTTAGGGAGTACATAGGTGATATTTTATATTTCTCTGTTACTTCCTGGTAATAGAGATAAAAGAAAAATTTCAAACTTCTTCAGGCTTTCTATGGGCTAATGACTTCTGGTTAAGACTGACTTTGGTTATTCAAATCTACAGCAGAGAGGTGAGAGAATAGGTTGAAAAGCATGCTTTAAATTTTCTGTGAGATAATATATTTGGCGACTTCTCAAGTAATTATAATTCTTTGCAGGAACGTGCTCACCCAGTCAGATAAAAAAAGTCATAATTCAATTTCACCATGTTAAATTTACTGCTGTTCTTGTGACATGTGGTTTGTTTCTCCAAATTAATTAACACTCATTTTTCCAATAGCTGCTTTTATGTAATATAGCATCCACAACTTCTTGATATGAATTGATTGTACTTGGATAGCTTACATCTAGGAGCAAATACTGTGCTTGGAATGTGTGTGGTTAGGTTTTGGTAATATATTTTTAATGTGTAGGATTTATGAAAAGGCATCCCACTCCCATGTTTGACCTCTCTTGCTAAGAGGCTTTATATTTGGGGGAGCAGCCTAAGGCTGCTGAATAAAAAAGCAAGCAAGACCACCTGCGGAAGTCCATGGCAGATTTGAATTTTCACCCCTGACCAGATGAGGCCAGATAGTTTTTTCCAGGACTTACAGTTGACTGGAAAAGACACACTCTTTGCCCTTCTTCAACTCAGAGTATGTGGCTCCCGCCTGGAGAGGTGGGCTATTCTAACTCTTGACTTTGCAGTGGGCTAGAGAGCCGGCTCTTTTCTTCTCCCAGGCTCTGCTTGTTTTTCTCATTCCTCATATTCCTGTGCTTTCTGTCCAAAGCTTGACTATTTAGATGAGACAGCATCTGCTTACAGTTACACTATTGGAACCATAACTTGGTCTTTAATCAAGCTTACACAGCAGGTGTAGGAAGAAAGAAAGAGAGAGAGAAAAAAGAGAACAAAAGGGAATGGTGAATGGAGTCATGTGGTAGAACTGGGAGCCAGATAGTCTCCAAGCAGGACCTTATTCACAAACTGGGAACTGTGCAAGTCATTTAACCCCTTCCAGCCTTGATTTCCCTGTTTGTGAAATGAGAACAATTGTGTCTATCTCAGAGTGCTGTGTGAGAATTCGGCGGTAAAGTAGGTGTACAGTTCGTGGATGCTTCCAAGTATAGGGCAGAGAGGAGTAGGAACAACAATTTGACGCACTGTTTCTAGTGGTACCAGCTGTATGAGCTGCCTCCTCCTCTATCCAGATGCCACCATCTGAAGGGGCTCAGTGGGTGTTTATTGACTCATGTGAGCACCGTGTGGAACCTGTGCCCAACAGCCCTGCCCACAGAGCACAGTGGGGAGCAGATCATGGGGCTCTTTCCAGCTCCCTGGTCATCCTTGACAGATGAAACAGTGACCCTGAGCCTTAATCTTCTCATCTAAATAGTAGTGATAACACTTTTTAAAGTAATTAGGTTGTTTGTTTTCTACGTTAAAGAATTAGGAAAACCAATAGCAGGAAGGTTAGGTTGGAAATAGGCCTGGGCTGAATGGTGAGTAAGCAGAGTTAATAATCTTTGTTTTTCAAACTCTTATTTAACAATTTTTAAATCTTGTCCTCTTCTTTCTCTTCTATTTTCTTTCTTTCTTTCTTTTTTTTTTGACCTTTTACTTCTTCTTTGATGACCCTTTCCTTCATTCCTAATTACTCTTTCTCACTTTCTCTTCCTTTCAAAATTTGCCCACATGGAAGGGTGTGATATAAGTCATTCACACCATTGTTAGAATTACTCATATTACTACAGGGCATGTTCCAGAAGGGAATGCATATCAAGAGAACATTTTAAGGCTTAAATTCTGTTCTTAAAAAAGAGTAATATGTAATTAAAGCTGCTCATTCCACAGAGAGAGTCTCTGAGAGGCCTGCAATGTATACCACTCAAGCAAACTGCTTTCTGTAACTCTAAGGAAGGTGTCCTCCCAGGGAACATGCCGAGAGCTCAGCAGCATGAGCATAAGCAGGTGGTTGTGGAGGGTCATCCTAAAACCTGTTTCCAGCAGGAGATTATGTCTGATATGGAGGAGTTCCCCAGGGGTCAGTAGAAGAACAGGTATGTCAAGGAGGGCCACTTTGTTTATTTTATTATTATTATTTTGTGTCATGGTTATGGTAGGAGTGGTGAGAGAGAAAATGCTATCTGAAAATATTGCAGTGCAGATTATCCCTAATTAGTGTTCCCAAATTTTGTTCTGAACAATTTGTGTGGATCCTTAATCATGTTTTATCACAGACAACAATCGTTCTTAGAAATGGAGGGACTTTAGGTGCTATTCAGTCCAGCTTTCCTTGCCAGCAGGAATCCCTTCTACGTCCCTGCTGAGTCGCCATTTAGCCTTTGCTTGCATGCTCCCTTCAATGGAACACCCACATCTCTTTGAGGCAGCCCATCAGGGAGACATTTGTCTCCAAAGTCAGCTGAAAATAGACTGATTAGCACGTAATGTACCTAGTGCCTGGTACTGATGTACTATTTCACCTACACCTCATCTCTTATAGTGATAGTTCTGTGGGGAATGCCTGGTTTGGGTAGACCAGGAGCCATCTTGTCCTTCCTTTGAGCCCAAGTTACACCACCAACTTAGTCTTCCACCGTCATTTACCTTCCCAGAAACAGGAGAAAAGCTCCGTCAAGGATGCTGGTGACTACCTGGGAGTTGAAATGAGTGAAGGTAGACCATAGCTAGCAAATATGACTCCTGGGGCATGACACACAGGCCATGCCAGTAAAACAGCTTCTGAATCAAGTTGTGGCTTTCTGTTGAGTGTTATACACGATACGTTTTATCAGATAGTTTCCGATGGCCACACTCCGCGTTGCCTCCCAGGTGCCCTATTTTGAAATTGTTAGTGGAATGTTCTTTGTATTTCCTCAAGTTGAGTGTCTGGGAGCAAACTCCTGTTGCCATGAACTAGTCACCCGGTGGGTCAAGGAAACGACAGAGCCTCCGGTGTCCCGGGAACTTCAGCCTCCTCAGGTTCCGACGGCTATACAAGGGAGCCCCTTACGTTGGGTCCACGCCCTGGTGATTTCAGTGGAGGAAAGACCAGGTTCCCCCATGGTGTCAAAGTTTGGAATTTAAATTCTGCCAACTTGAATTCAAATGCAGGGCTGACTTGTAATGAAACCCTCATTGGGCACAAACTGAGGCTGGCACAAGAGGCACATACTAGCTAGGTCTGAGCCTGGCCAGACAGCCTAGCCAGAGATAAGCAGAGAGGAGGAGAAGAATATTCAGACATCTTGCTGAGGAACGACTTACCTATGTTATCATAGGGAATTATGATCGTCCCCGAGTCGACCCACGCTTTGGTATAGATTAAGAGGCACAGCGGCATCATCCCCAGGGCCAGCAGCGTGGAGCACGTGGTCATGCTGACGCTGAAAGGAAATGGGCAGGTTGATATATCCACCTGAGTTTTCTAGCAGAGAGGTTGTTTCATTTTTTCAATTCATGATTAGACAGTCCTACAAAAGGCTATCTCAACCAGCAGCACCACCCGGTCTGATGGACAGAAATATATGTGTACCCCAGTTTGTTCAGGGTCCAGCCTTGGGCAAAATGGTGAGATATGTTTTTGGTGTCTTCCTACCTTGTTTTGTGCTATCCCTCCTTCCCTCCCTTCCCTCTTTATTCTTGGTTCTCAAGGATAAAAAGATATTTGATGACCATTTATACTCATTACTAAACAAGGTCAGAGGGGCTTGGCCATGACAGCCTTTGGACCTCCAATCAGAAAACCACAAACACATTTACATCAGGAATGCCATCAGCGGCTTCACCATGTCTGTCTGTGCTGGGACAAGGTGGGCCTCCCTGGGCCCTTGGAAGAAAATGCATGTCCAAGAAGGGAAATTTCAGTGGTTTTCTTAAAGCAGACGAATTATTGCCCTAAATGCTCATAGCTTGAAAAAAGAAGAAGCTGACTTAAAAAACAAACAAACAAACAAACAAAGAGAACATGCACGCAGACAGGGTAGGCCTGGATTCCATTTATGCTAAAATTTACCAAATGTGCACTCAGAGAAACCAAGGCCTGGTACATCCCTCCTGAGAGTATCTGTGTTTTAGCAGCGCATCTGGCTAACTGGACTGTGGCTTTTGACATGGAGACATTAATGTGGAATGATACTATTTTCAGCACTGTGACAGTGGATGGGAAGAGGTTTTGGGTAGTGGGTCTTCCTGTTCCCATTTAAGTGCCCTATATACAGGGCAAATTCTGTGCCCAGGGAGCAGAGCCTTAAATGGCTGGGCCAGACACTAAAGCCAGACACTGCCTGGGCTGAAAGTAGGCATGGCCACTTACTGCGTGACTTTGGGTCATTTCCTTGACTTTCCTTATCTGTAATAGAAAATCGTAACCATTACCACCTCACAGGCTGTGAGGACTGACTGAGCCAGGGAGTCCAGGACTTAGAATAATGCAAGGTGCTCATTAAAAGCTAGTTACTGTTATTACATGTTCGGCCACAGTGTGTGCTGTATCCCAGCGTAATTCCAAATCAGGAAACTAGAGACATTTTTCTGAAAGGCTTTTTCTCCAATAGCTGTAGCACTGAGACTATCGGACTATTAATTTTTTAAAGGTATTATATGTGGACTGGGAGGAAAATGCTAAATTATGTATACCACCTATCTCCCCTCATCCTCCCCAAAAAACCAACAAATACAACCACTCCCTATACGAAGCTAAGGAAAACAGCTGGAGGTAAGAATTTTGTTTCAATGCATCTAATTTAGCACAGTTTGGGCAAAATAAAGAGTGGATGCAATGTCTATCGGGGACTTAACTTTCCTAATAATCACTTTAAAACAAAACAAAACAGGAATGACCTCACACAAAATACATTTAAAGGATTTAGAAAAAGATGTACTTGTCTTAGGAGAGCTAAAACAGTGTAAGAATAATCAATGCTTAGAGTTGTATGTAAACCATTTCTAAGAAGTTCATTGATTATGGTGACAGGCTAACTTAATTTAGATACAAAGTAGGATGGTAAGGCAGAGTCCTACAGCACAATAAGTTAATTTGTTATAAATTGTGCTTTGTCCTACTTAAAATTGAAGTACTCAGGTGTGTCAGTGATTCCCCTTCTCTCCCTACCTTCCTCCCTTTCTATGCCATTCTCTTTTTTATCTTTCACTTTAAAAAATAAATTACAGTGGATTTAAAGTTATCCCATCATTAAATTACTTTTATTCCGTGCATCCTATATGCTTTGTAGAGTGGAGAGGATGAAAGGGCGGCGGTGAAGGGGGGAAATATTCATTATCTGGATCACAGTAAAAAGAAGCCTGAGCATTTTGTGTTTAAAATGATGACAACAACTTTTAGAAGGAAGTTTGTTTCTCTCCTTGTTTTCCTTTCAAATTTCCTTGGGTAAGGAAATTCTGAGCTATTGCTAAGACAATTTATGAAGTTCTATTGTGGTTATGAGATTCTCGAGAGCAGTTTCTTAAGGGCCACAGGAGGGGCAAGACAGAGGTTGGAGAAAGAAATGGTTTAGCTGTAGCATCATGCCAGTGAAGTGCGGCCAAAAGACAAGAGGAGAGGTGGTTGGAAGTCAATGCCATCTGAACTAAAATGAGAACAACGTCACACCACTCAAAAGGAGGTGAAAAACAACTCAAAGATAAGTAATTTTAAGAAGTGATAGGTGGGAATAAATTAGTAAAAGAAACAATCATTTTGCATGAAAGAAATGTGACGTTCTATAACAGGCATACTTGTCAACAATAGGAACACTATTATAAATTTGTATTGGAGTGAGAGAAAATGTAAGAAAAGAAAGAAATCTCTTGTCTTTAATTCTTGGCTTTAGCTCTATTCGCCACCAGGGAGAATTATTTTTCTTTCTGGAAATAAAAGCAATAACTGAGAATTCAGTGAATGTTGATGAATTTGATAAAGTCAGTGATAAGAAATGCAAAATATTGTAATCATATTAGAAGTAAAACACCAAGTTTGAAAGATCAGAAAGAATGTATATAGGTGGCGCTAGAAAGTGGAGATGCGCTCAATGACAGAAATAATGTTGAGCAAAGGATAAGTCTGGACAGGGATCAGTGGATAGGTCTGGATTCAAATTCTGACTCTGTGACCTTGGTCAAGGTTATGAGCCGTAATTTTATCATCTGCCACATGCAGAAGATAATAGTACTGACCTCAGAAGACTATTTGATCCAATACACCAAAGCATGTAGAGTGCTTATACTGCACGTGGCTCATAATAGTGCCTAACAAACATTAGCTAGTAAAATAAAAATAAATGCTGCATTATTAATTATATTCCTGAACTATCTTTCATATCCCTGTGGCAGTATTGTAGTTACCTATTTATGTTGTCTAATCCCTTTCCTTTCTCCCTCATCCCCACCCCCTTCCCAACTAGCAACTATCAGTTTTTCCTCTACATCTCTGAGACCATTTCTGTTTACTTTGTTCATTCAGTTTTTTAGATTCCACATATAAGTGAAATCATATGGTATTTGTCTTTCTTTGACTGTCTTATTTTACTTAGCATAATGTTCTCTAGGTCCATCCATATTGTTGCAAATGGTACGATTTCATTCTTCTTTATAGTGGATGGGGTAGAGGCTTGATCACTGCACTGCACACCTGAAGCTGATGTTGTATAATATTGTATGTCAACTATAATTTAATATATATATAGTCACAGGATGTGGAATATAGTGTGGGAGTGGAGTCAAGGGAACTGTAATAGATATGTATGATATCGTGGGGGGAGTGGGTGGCAGATTGGGGGAGGGGGTTTGTCACTTTGAGGGGTAAAAAGTATAACGACAGCACTGTGTTGTATACCTGAAACTAATTGTAAAAAGAAAAAAGAAAAAATCTCAGATCCTCCTGCCCCGCACCACCAAAAAAAAAAAATGCTACATGAGACATGAGAGAAGCAAATCTTGGTCACTTTGAAGAAAAATAAAGGAAAAATCAAATAGTGTTGGGCTATTTCTAAGGAGCTTGACAGTTACCCTGTTTCCTCCAAAATAAGACCTAGCTGGAAAATAAGCCATCGCATGATTTCAGGTGCCAAAATATCACACCTTGGCATACTGAATATTTTTTAAGCTGAAGGAGTTTGTGGAAAAGGCACCCTTTTCCCTGAAACAGGTCATAAAACCCTCATGTGAGGGGTGCGTGCCTTCCATATCCTGGAGGAATCCTGCTACGGCTTCTTCTCTGGCTAGGTCTTATTTTCAGGGAAACACGGTATGTGGTTGAAATGAGAGGGATTGCTTTGGATTTTTGATACACCTGAGGGTCAGGGATCTCAAACAACTTAAACAACAGTGAACAATTGAACTGGAAGATGAACAATGTAACAATATTTGGCCACAGAACAAAGAATGTGGCAGGAAAATCGAGAAGCTATTAAATCTAGAAAATAATAAAAGGGAATGTAGAAAGTGTGTGACAATGAATAAATTGGGGGAAACTGAGGAAAGGATGTGATGGAAAGTGAGAAAGTCCTGTGTAGTATGGCTGAGGCCATTGCTAAGAAAGGAGAGATTCAAAAACGGGGAACCTGTGGGGATAGAGCATACACAAGAAGATGGATGTCTCTGTCCCCTAAACTGTAGGCCTGGGTCCCAGCAGATATACAGAACTGAAAATATCATCTTCATTTCCTCCTGAAACATTTTGTGCCTCTTGTGCCCACAGCACAAGTAGAATACGTGAAAATGCCTAGACACTGATCAGATTCCCACAACAGCTTTATAGGTTAGAGTGGTCAGAGGAGAAGCTGAAATATCAAACATGATTTGCGGTATTTTAATGAGCAAGGATTCAATGAGCAAGATCTGTTATTTTGTGTGTGTCACTTATTTTGTTGTGTTTTTTTGTTTTTGTTTTTGTCGCTAGGGATTTCAAAATGCAATGGTTTCCCAGGTAGGGAACAGATGATAGGGTGAAAGGAAGGTGTTTTGGTTTCTTCTTTCTTCTCCCAGGACCCATATCCAATGAAGTTAATGCCAGGTGGGGTTGTTTTGCTGGCATTGTGTGGTATTCATTCAACTAGTACAGATACTTGTTGGTATAAACAATCATATCTTGACTGCCATTGCTAGAGTTCACGTAGAAATGGAGAAGGTAAAGTCCCAAGAGGACAAAATTGGAAATATAAATGGTAGATAGGATCGTGTCTAAACAAATTACTAGGAGACTTTAGTTATCCAGTGCTCACTTCAGAAGAATGAGAACTGTTGGAAAACTGTTTCCCCAAGCTGAGGTATTATTCTCTTAATTTGCTTTAAAGACACATTTGAACAGTTTTCTCCCCAACGTATGCAATGCATGTCATCATCTTACATAGCGACATAATTTAACCTCCTTACAATGATTTTGGGTCACTGTGATAAACATTATAATTTGCTCTGCTAAAACGCAGCAGTGTCTTCTGGGTGACTGTGTTTGTCCCTCAGATAAGCAATATGGAGGCTGCTGTGCTTTGTGAGCTGTTCTGTTTGCTCTGGAGACGTTTTGGTCTTCTCTCTGAGGTCAGGCTTCCAGGGCCACTAGCTACTGTGGGACTCAGGCATGCCTCCCTCGCACCCCTGCCCACTTCTGATTTCTCATCCTTGGGGCTGGGAAACAGCACAATAGCGCTTTAGAATTAGGAGAGTAAGCAGGACCTGTGAAATTAAATGGGACTTATTTTGGGCATGCAAAGTCTTTTATTGGGTCTTGTTTGAGTTCTGAAAAGGTGAATTTGATGGGAAGGTGACTATTAGACTGGAGAGGTGTTGGTGTTATTTTCAAGACCAGGGGGATGTGTAGAATGCACACTTGCTAGAATGAAAATTAAAATTTTAGTGCCATCCACCCCATTATGAGACTGATTCTGACTCGCTGAAGGATTCCTATAGACTAATTCAGCTGGATTTTTCCACCAGGGTTTCAAATTTTGATTTTGGTTCTTAATAGTATTATTTCCTCCAGAAATTGTTATAAACGTAGACAAGATTACATAATCATCTATTTCAAGGGAAATAAGATTTCCCTAAAACAACAGAAAAGTATAACTTGGAGCTTTAAAATTAGGGTTTTTACAATTTTAGCCCATAGAAAGGAATCTGTTTCAACAGCCAAACAAACCAGCATCACATATACTTTTCTCCCTTACAAAATGATTACACATGTGTGGCATTACGTTGAGGTACAAGACTCTTCCATTTTGTTAAAATATTACAAATACAGTTGACCCTTGAGAAACTGTTAGGGGTAGGGGCACTGACCCTCCAGCACTGCAAAAAATCCACAAATTACTTTTGACTCCCCAAAAACTTTACAGATAACTTACTGATAACATAAACAGTTGATAAATTCATATTTTTATGTTATGTATATTATACACTGTTTTCTTACAATAAGTTAAAGAAAAGAAAGTATTATTAAGAAAATCATAAGAGAAATACATTTATAGTATTTATTGAAATAAATCCACGTATAAGTTGACCTGCACCGTTCAAACCTGTGTTGTTTAAGGGTCAACTGTATTATGTTGAAGCTGTTTAGCCAAAGCCCCATACTTAATTTTGTCCACTCCTGTCAGCTAGCTTTTAGAATCCTCACCTCAGTGTGCCTATGTCCAGGTCAAACAAAGTTGAAGTCTAAAAAGACCTTATTGCTATATGGTGGTTCACAGATTAACTAAACCTGAACAGGGCTTGCCACCCTTTCTTCTTTACAGGACTTTCTTAGGGGAAAAAAAAATCTATTGTAAGAAAGATATAGTACTTCCTTATGTGAAAAATATGTACTTGAAAGGTGTATAGTTTGTATAGTTTTTCTAAAGCTCCTGGAGAAATCAGCACCAGCTGAGACATGGTGGCTGGCTCCCAGTTGCTCACTAAGCACTGGATCGGCCTGGGATAGTTTACATTTTGCAGTGGTTACATTTTTATACTTCAAGCTTCTCTCTTCTGAGTATAGTAGCTGGTGATTAACAGAGCTCATTGCCTAGTGTACAGGGTTTAATAAGCATACATTACATTAATACCTGGCTGGTTTGCTGAAATGCATACCTTTAACAGGAAATGAGGAATTGTGAGGTACAGAAAAAGACATTTGTCTATTCAACTTGTAGCATTAAAATTCTTGGTCTCGTCACATTAATGCTTTGTCTTATTTCTATTTTATTTTATTTTTTCCTAGTGCTAGTTCAGACTAGCGCAGGATGAACTGGGAAAACATTGCAATTTAGATTATTTGGTGGGAAGAAGAAAAACTATTTTCTGTTTATTTTATAGTAAGGTAAGCATAATTAAAAAAAAACTGCTGTAAGTTTTATTTTCTTTTAGCTTGAAACAAATGTACAGATTCTTTCTTGGACTTTATACCAAGACAAAGCTTTTCCAAAGAACTAGCTGTGTTTGGTGGAGTTGACTATTGTTTCATCAAAAATTCTAATGTTTAATGAACAATTTGATTTCATGATTGCAGACAGAGCTCCACATCATCACAAAGAAAGTTGTCTGCCTTTGTTTTCATTTTTCTGATAGCAGCAAGAAAAACTTTCTCAACTGCAGCCTGTGGGGCTTGGAAAAGATTTCTTTTTTTGAAGAACTTTGAATCTTTTCCCAAAGATAAACTACAATTATCCAACTCCCTATGAACTGATTTAGATTAAAAAACACAAACACAAATATACCCCCCCAAAATTCCAATAGCTAAGCAGCTATGCCGGAAGGCAAGTACATGCATTTATTCTCTTTGGTGTGTTTCCTCAGTGGTACCCTAGTTGAGTGGCAGACCGTGTTGATATTCACAATGCCACAGTCTTCTGAGAGACTAATGCAATGTGACTGCAGTATATGGAGGTTTAGCTATCTTACCTGAGGTCCATGTCACCATCGACCCAGTAGGCCAAGATGTTGGAGGCAGTTCCTCCGGGACAGCAGCCCATGATCAGCACCACAACAGCCTGGATGGGGAGGATGTTAAAGGCCACTGACAGGATGTATCCCACGAGGGGCATGATTCCAAACTGACAGAGGAAGCCAATACAGATGCCCCACGGCCGCTTTATGTGTCCCAGGAATTTCTTGATTTCCACATTGCATCCCATAGAGAACATCACCAAAGCCAACAGGATGGTCAAGACGGTGCTCAGGACCACACTTAAAATGTCATTGAAGTTGCTGGCAGCTACCACACAGGACGCTCCATCGCAAATTGTCGCATTGGCCGAGCAGCCAGTTGAATTATTCATTGTTGGGTTTCAGGCTCGAATGGTCACAGAAATCCACAGAAGCACCAATCTTCCACTCCTCGCTAGGAAAGTAATGCCCGCTCCAACCACGGCAAACTTTTAAACCCTTCTTAAACATGTGTCACTTGGTGTCTCTTTCAAAAGCCACCTCAGAGAAGCAATAAAAAACAATAAATGCTAGTATGTCAGTTTCGAGAGGTAACATTCCAACACAGCACAAATTATGAATCATAAAAGTCCTGCCAAATTATTGGCCCAGACGGAGAATTATAATTAATCATTTATTGGCATGGTAATGAACCGTGCCATATAAAAAGAGCTGTGTTAATGTTTAATGCTGGGAAGATTTGTTCATTTCAGTTAAGCGACGCTTAGAATATTACAGAACACTAGAGGGGTTAAATTGTAGGAAAACATGTTGCTCACTTATCTCCTTTAAATAAGGGACGGTTGGCTCCTGAAAAGTCGAGAACCCTGTGCCAAATTAAATTGCAAATTGGTGTCAGACTCTGCACTGAAACCGAGACCCCCGATTTCCTCCCCCCATAGTTTCCCTGCTGTATCAACCTGTCTGCTCCTCTTGGCCTACAGTGTTCATAAAGTATACGTAAGTTTGAGAAACTTGTAGGGTTTGGGTGCAAACCAATGGGAGGGTAACATGCAGGAGCATGGAATGGTTTCTGTATTGTCTGGTGGATGGGCGGCTGACCAGGAGAGTCACCCTCAATTACTCACACACCCAATTATGTATGCGTCGTCATAGTAACAAAGTGCTTTATAGATAGTGACAATACAATTATTTAGAGGGATGAATCTCAGAGGATTAGGTCAAAGTGACAGGGGCAATTTGTGCTTGGAGTCAGAAATTGAAATTAGAATTTTTGGGGGTGGGGGAGGCAGTCAGAGGTTCCAAGGGAGGTTCATTTTTGTAAATGTCAAATAGCCGACCTCATTATGGGCAGAACACTGCACTCAGTGTACAGGGACGATAAAAAAGAGGTAGAGCAGAAATTGTTTCTGTTTTGGGGAGTTTCTGATACAATCATTAGTCAGGATGCAACATAAGAATAAAACTGAATATTTTTATCATAATTCACAATTTATAAAAAACAATTTTATCATCTTAAATTAAGTGGGATTAGCCTCTCTATTTTACAGATGAGGACGTGAGGGTTGAGGAAATGAAGTGCTTTATTCAAGGTCACCCAGCTGATAACTAGAGGTACTGAAACTCCGTTTAGCTTGCTAGAGATTTAGAGAAACACTTTAGAAAAGAGTTTCTCAAAAGTCAGTGTGCAAATGAATCCCCTGCGGGTCTTGTTAAAATGCAGATTCTGATTCTGGAAGTTGGGGTTGGGCCCCCTATGTCTGCATTCCTGACAAACTCAGAGTTGAGAGTGATAATGCTAACCCAGGGACTACACTTTGAGTATCAGGGCCTTACAGTACATGTCAGGGTGATGACAACTACCCAAGGTGGTAAACATGGAATTTACTGGTCACAAGTAAAAGCATTTACAGAATAATTCAATAGGGACAATTAACCTTTTGCATAACTTGAGCAAATGTGAGCTGTGGGTAGGGGAGTGGGCCACCAAACAGAGCTGTGAATGGAGCCAAACATCCCAGCTGCTGGGGGTCTAAGGATGATATCCTTTTACTGGGGGATTGAGCTGCTGGGATAGTAAAAGTGACAGTGATTCACACTCACTGTTGGTGCAACTCCTGTCCCAGGAGTGTTCCTCCTCAGCCGTCAGGCCCCACTGCTACCTCACCTTGCGAGGGTGGACTCCCATTAGCTCTGCCTGGTTGCGGGCCAGTTCCTGGAAGATCCTCCTGTCTCTCCCATCACTCTTTCCACTCCCACAGCTGTATGATTAGCTAGGTATTTCCCAAAAGGGCTCCCCTTCCACTCCTGGGGGTGGTATGATTTGGCCCTGCTTGGCTGGCCCCCTCTGAGCATCTTGTGGGACTGACCTCTGGCCTATGTGCCAGACTGCCTTGGGCTGGTGTGCTGAATGCGCCCCCTGCTGCTGCACCTTGGCACCTGTCAGTGCTGGCTGTTATCCCAGAAGCCCAGGTGAGGCCCAGTGCAGATCTGAAGAATTCTGAGCCTGACACATCTGCAGGGTTGATCAGCTTTCAAAGCAGCTGCCTTACTTTAATCTCAGACATTACTGAGAGTCTGAAAGTGAGTCCAGGACCTACTCACTAACAGACCAGGTCCTGTATGCAAAAGGAAATTGGAATCCTGTTGGTAGGAGGGAGCAATTTGGAATTTTCCCAGGGTGGGCATCAGGTTCTGGCCAGGCTTGGGGTTGCCAGGTAAAATCTGCACTTAGCCTTTTGTCCACATGGCTGGAAGCAGAGAGGAGCAAGTGAAGACAGCAGAAAGCAGGTTGAGAACAAAGCTCTTCTCAAATTTCAGACGACTTGCTAAGGAGATTTGAGGCTCCCAAGGGCAGAATGCTTTGCATATAGACAACTTGCAAATGAGCAGTCTGTTCGACTAGACAGAGTGCTACAGCTCTGGTTTAAAAAATGTGCCAATGCATTTCTAATTTTCACATTGTTTTTACATAAATTTGCACATTAGGCTCGAGAGGCCTTATAGTCAAGTATTGGAGTGATTCACAATTAATTAGTACCCTTAACTTGAACTGCATTTAAATTCAGGCATCAGACCAGGATAAATGGAAAATATCTTAACATGTAAAAAAACCATCCTTTTTAATTACAACACAGAATTGGGGAACAGATGCACACCTGAATGGGCCATCAGGAGGCTGGGGCTTGATTCCCATTGTAATCTTTCTCAATCTTTTCTGCTCAGTTTCTTTGTGCACTGGGCTCAGGTACAGGCCATCTTCAAGAAACCAGCAGCAAATTCCTGCTCTTGGCCTCCTGGGTGGCAACACTGCTGGTTGTGGGTCAAGTTGACCTCTCAGTTCGACCTCTCCGGCTTCCCTTTGGTTCCTATGTTATCACTTTGGAGAATGAGGGTTTAATAGCTTTCCAAAGTGTTTGCCCTGAAGTTACATGATAAAAGGGGAGCTTTCTATTTCCTATTGTGTTTCCTTGGGGATGGTTCCATTCAGATCAATCGTCATTTGGGATTTGAGTGATTCTGTTGAACTGTTCTCTGAAAAATCTCCCTCTCTCCTCGTCCCTATCCTTTCCTATGTACTGAACTTTTATGAAACCTGAAAGTCTCGTAATTAGAGTTATTATTTGAAGTTCCCACTGATTTCTGAGGCAAAAATACTCTGGGGAGAATAGCCCAGGAATGACAGCTGTCCATTTATTTGAGTGGCATTAAAGGAAGAAGAAAGCTAAGTATTGGAGAGAGGAAAGTAGTGTGGAAGGGTTTAAATTTTGCTGAATGTAAGAAGCACTGGACTAGAAACCACAAGACTTGAGTTCCAGGTCTGCCCCTTTTGGAAATACTGTGCCAGCTGTTAAGGCTTTTATGAATGAATGTGAAGCCTAAAAATCTGGAGACGATACAACTAATTTCACAAACTAGTAAAGCTAAATATACACATGCCTTATGACCCAGTCATTCTAATCTTGAAACCAGAGGGCAAATGAGTCCGGGGCTCATGCTGCCTGCGCCACTCAGCCAAAGACCAACACAGGAGTTGAGCTATAGGATAAGCATTATTGTCAGAACGCCAGTAATCTGATAAGGCAGCAGGTTAACACCTTCAAAAACAGCCTTAACATTCTCAGACCAGCTTAGGGTATTTAAGGGAAAATCTGGAAGTTGCCCCAGATATTATGTGATAGTTATAGGGTCTGCATGGAGTCTTCCCTCTGGCAACATTGTTCTCTGGTGGCATCAGCAACCCAGGAACAAAGATGGGAATAGCCTGGAAAGAATGCTAGACCACAAGGATTGTGACCAACAAGCCTAAGGGTATTAATCATAAGCTTCAGGGCAATTTTCTAAAACAGAAAATTGGGACAGGGGACATTCCAAGCTCAAGTGGCTGGGGGTGATCTATTGTGAAACTATAGGTAGGTCAAGGAAAGGTGAGGCTGGGGGAGATGCGAGGCCTCTACTACAGGGTCCCAACTGGGCCCTGCTTCAGTCATAGGTAAAAATCTAACAAATCTATAAATTGAGTTTCCCAAAAGACATGAACTAAAATGTTCATAGTAGCTCTACTCGTAGTGCTAAACTGGAAACTATCCAAATGTCCATCAAGAGTAGAATGGGTAAATATATTGTGATCTAGTCACACAATATAATTCTATACATCAATTAGGATGAATGATCTGCCATGACAAAGCTAATGCTGAATGAAAGAAGCCAGACACACAAGAGCACATACAAACGGCCAAGCTAATCAATCTATGGTATCGGAAGTCAGAATGGTCTTTATCCTTGGAGTGCGGGAGCGCAGAGACTGAAAGGGTCACAAGGTAGGCCATACTTCAATATAAAGCTGAAAAAAAACACCCAAAGCAAAACACTTCTGTTCTAGTAAGAACAGGCTGGGGGAAGATATATGTTCTGGCCTAGAGAAGGCGAGAGACAGAAAGATAACACTAGACTTGAGAAGATAATGTGGGAGAATAAAGCAGAGAGTAGAACTGGGGGTGGGGTGGGGGGTGGGGGACAAGCGCTAGAAAGAAGGATAGGAGATGAATATTCAACTTAATTGTTTTAACCAGGGTTGGCCCTGTTAATCATTCTGTGGTATAGTAATTGTTGTCAATTAAATGCTTTTTAAATGTCTAAAAACATTAATCTTTATGAACCTTTAATGAGGTACTTTTTGGTTAATCAATTCTAGATAAACCTTCAAGCAAATCCTCCTAATAGAAGGCAATGTTTATGTCCTCTTGGTTCCATAGTAACCCATAAACTTAAAGTGGAAAATTGATTCATCCATTTTGCTAGCATCTCTGGCTGTCTGTTGTGAACTTGATAAAATTTTTGTTATTTTTGAGTTTACATCTAGAACATTCATGACTAGTAAATTTTTAGGAATCCTTGACATACCTTGTGGTAGATTGTATTATTGTTCTCAATTTAATTGCTTCTTAATCCCCTGCGATGGGATTATATAGCCACAGCTGTTGAAATTACTTGCAGTACTTCCCTGTTGAAGAAGTATGCCTTCAGCTTGGGTATCAAAGCCTTGCAGATAGCTTTTGCCAAGTAAGTGTTAGTGATGGTGATGATATGACACTTCTGAGCAGAAACT